AACTCACAAGCTTCTTTCCAGCTCAGTAAAGTTACGAGCAACTTTCACAGTGGGAGGAGAGGCCCACAGGTAACTCGTGCCACTGCGAACCTGCCAGCTACAGAGTCAGCCTGGGGTACTCAGCACAGGCTCCTGAAAAACAATTAACAGCTACTCCCATTGTTTAAAGAAAGATAGCTGCATAGACATGCTCAAGTGCAAGAAGAATCCCAAATTCTGTCTAGTCAAAAGAAACAGCTCTTGTTTCATGCAATATCTGATACCTCCAAAGCAAGCACAATCCCACGTCAAAAAAAAAAAAAAAAAAAAAGAAAAGAGGAGAAAGAGATCCTTTCCCTAAAGACACAGCCACCTCTGCTTGCTCAAGTGCAAGAAGAATCCCAAATTCTGTCTAGTCAAAAGAAACAGCTCTTGTTTCATGCAATATCTGATACCTCCAAAGCAAGCACAATCCCACGCCTACTCCAATGCTGAGAGGGAATGCCTTTTCCAAACCTAACTTTTTCAATAGTAATATCCTTGATGTCCCTCATTTCCAAAGCCCAGGAGCCTGGGTTAAGCCCTCCCCTGGCCCCCACCTGCTCTTCCTCACAGCTGCTCCCTGGCTGAGGGAGAAATCAGGGATTTTTGAATATAAAACAATGACCTTTTCCTTTTAAATTTTTTCTTTTTAAATACCTTTAAACTTGAAACTTGCTGTCTCTATTAGGGTTTAAATTTGCTGTAATGTATAAAAATCATAGTAATTACCTTTACGCTGCCCTCTCATCCCAGTGAGTTCAGGCCCAGTGATCAGAGCTGGGGAGGAGAAGCAACTTTTGCTTCAAAAAACTTTTCAAAAAAGCAACTTTTGCTTCAAAAATCAACTTCTTCTGAAATAAATCAAATGTGGCAGCTAAACCTGCCTTTGGAAAAAAAAAAAAAGGCACGGCATCTGTAAGACAGTGACTGAGCTGCAAACTCCCTCACAGAGGGGGAAAACCACTTGTGTTATGGTTTCAGGGATGTGAAGTCTGGGAAACTTCTCTTGCACTTGAGCTGAGCACCCCGTTAGGTCCCACGCAGGGAGTCCCCGGGGGCCAGGCCACGACACGGCCCTGGCGACGGCAGCGTGAGATGAGAGTCAATCCTCTCGCCGGCTCCTTCTCCCTCTCACTTCTGCCCCAGGCTGAGACACGGCAGGGGCTGTCTCTGCTCACCACCACGCCACGGCGAGCACAGCCTTTCCCTTCCAAATCCATGGAGCCCCTCAAGCTGAGGTGGCCAGGAGCTGCTGGAGCGGGAGCTCGGCTCTGCTGGACGTGGGCAAGGCACAGAGCTGGCACCTCACTGCACCCCGAGAGCAGCTCCTGCCCCGGGCAAACCCGAGCCCCCGCGCAGGGAGCCAGCCCCTCCGAGGGCAGAGAGCTGGGCCAACACACCCAAGGCAGCGGCTCCGACAGTCCTTGGATATGGATTTTTCCTCCTATTGATTAACCCATTTGGAGCTTGTTTATTTGTGGTAAGGCCGCCTCGCAGCTCATTTACTCTCTCTTAATGAGGCCCCCGCAGAGTCGATGCCTCCTGTGCATTAATTACAGGCTCCAGCACAGCCCATGCTTTTACGGAGCATCCTCCCTGGCTCTGCTCTGCTGGCCTCCGTGGGGCAGGCTCCAGCCCCACTGATCCCCAGCGGCCCCACACCCGCCGTGGGGCAGGAGGTGACAATCTGGGAGGGGGAGCATAAATAGCTCTGAAATAGCTGAGTGTACTGGGAAGGAATGGCCATTCACAGCACATCCCTTTTATAGTAGTGGGGCTGCAGAACACACCACCGTCCTAGCTTCGTTGGACAATGAACAGCCATATCGGGGAAAGATTATTTCCTTTTTCAGAGAAAGGGATCAAGATGTTCCATTTCATCTTTTTCCATATTCCAGGAGCTCAGTGCCAGCCGCTCCATCTGCAGCCGCTGGCACAGTCTGTGTCCAGCTGCCAAAGCAGTAGCAGAAATAAACACCGCTCCAAACAGAGGTGGTGTATGTCTGAGAGACCCTGAAAAATCTCTCACTCCTGTTAGATATTAGAGGCACAAATGGCAAATGAATATCCATCATTTGTTATTTCTGGATGCAAAAAATAAGGGTACAATACTACCACCCACCAGAAAAGCCTAATAAAAATAGAAAGACTTGAACTGAAGCACCCAGAACGGTCAGGGTTACCGTAAGAAAACTGAACAAATAACCAGAAATTCAATTTACCATTAAGCAGTAACAGTGAAAAAACCAAGGAAAAGTTGCTGGTTCAAATAACAATGAACCCTGAGCTCACATGAGATTTAAAACCACAGCACTAACAAGCTACACTGTCCTGGTTTGAGGTAAAACAGAACCGATTTTCCATGTAATAACTTCACTTTTTAGCTAAGCCTCTTCTAACTAACTGAATTCTCTGAAAAGTAACAGCACATTGTGCAGAAACTCTTTGCTCTCAGAGAGGCGAGACCTGACACAGGGTGATCAATCATGTTCTACACCTTCCCCACCTGCTCCCTTTCACCTTTGGTTGGCCTTTAGAGGCCAAGAGCTGTGGGACAAGATGAACCTCTATGTGTCTGGGTGGCATCTAACACTGCACAAACTACTCAGTGCTGTTGTAGACCCACAAGCTCTGCTGTCCCAGGAGTTAAAGCATTGCTGAGATGGGTGCCACACAAAGCCAAGCTGAACTGCAAAGCTACATGGTGGCTGTTCCTCGGTGACACGATGGAGCCAGCGGCAGTGATCCACCTGAAGAAAGCCCCAAGTGGTCTGTCTGCTTCTGGGGAGGGGGTGGTGGAAATGCCAAAGGAAGCCGCATGAACTGGCGGAGCCATCTGTGCCATCTGTGCCATTTCTCTTCCCAGTAAAACCAGGATGTACAACACCGGGACGGGCAGGCAGCTTTCTACTGCCTCAGGCAGCACTTCCCACATCTTTGAATCCGCAGGGTCAACGAAACAAGAAGCAACTCTCTTCAGTGTGGTGCAGGACAACATGGAAGATCCACACAGGATAAAGATCACCGAGTTAAAACTCTGCTTTGGCTAATGTCACTGAGCCTATGGGGAAAGGGGGAAAACAAAAGGAATAGCAGCTCTCGGGGTAGAATCCACTCACAGTGGGCTCTGCATTGTAAGCGCAGTGGGCTGTGCATCTCTGGGGGTACCCAGGGGTCAGCTCATGCCACTGCTGATCCCCAGCCTCACCCGGGGCCAGGGAGGGCCCCTGGTCTCACATGATCTGCAGTGAGTGTGTCACGGGGCAGGATCGGTGCCACCGCGCCTCCCTCGCACCGCGCTGGCAACCGGACAACGCGCCACAGAAGCAGGGGGTCACCGTCCCTCACGCTGCAGTGCCGCTTCACAACGCACCCAAAGCTGCTTGTCCTGCCCCCAATTCCCTGCTGAATGGGTGTCGCAAACACATCACACTTCGTTAGCATGCAGCAGCGCACTGTCACACACACCCCATCTCTCTTCTGCTCTCAGATCACTACATCCATCTTCGCTGGAGGAAGGGGCAGTGTCATCACAGCCTGCTATAAGGCTATATAAGGGCAAGAAAATACTCCTCCTATTACATGTTACCACTCTCCTTTTATACCCTCCTTGCTGCTGACTTCAACAGGAATAACAGCGCTATTCTCCCTCCTAAAATTTATAACCCTCCCCTTACAAACATCCAACACATATTGCTTCATACGTGCCAGCCTCCCTTTACCCTCAAAGCGTGCGACGGAGGTGAATTCTGAACATCTCGACCAGTAGTATTCAGTGTTCAGCTGAAAGTTTGCTGCTTCTGTTTCACATCTAACAAAGGGATTGTGTCTCCATATCCTGTTCCTTTCCCACCTATTTTGCAGGTCTGATAAGAGACATTACCTCTCCCTGTTGCAAAAAGGAAAAAAGCACAATGGAAGTACAATCACATTCTCTTTTCTCAGCTGCTAAAAAGTGCAGTTCCTTATGGGAACCTGACTGGTACACACTTCGGAAGTTAATTTTCAGTTATTGGTTTTGAGATTTAACAAAGACACACTCAAATTAACCTATCCATCAAAGAAGGGGGAGCACAGCCCGCAGAGACTGTCCCTGCCAGCTCTGCAGCCACAGAGCACTGTCTGTTCCTCCCTCCCTTCCAGACCGGCGGGTCCTCAGGCTCCAACGCTGCCTTTGCCACTCACTCCTGACAACAGAGACCGGCGTGTTCTGCTCCAAAGCAACAGAACCAGGCACCAGGTCTGTGCAAAGAGCCAACAAACCATCTTTCATCAAAGCCGGGACCAAATGATTTGTCCAGTTGGCAACTGGAAAGACAGCGCTGCCTGTGGAGAGAAACACAGCGAGGAAACACGAGGAGAGCACAAAGTGCTGCACAAAACATCTCAGGGGTGTTAAGGTCAAGAAAGCATGGAAAAGAAAGATTCAAGAACAACTTTCCAAATCGGAGTAACCTCCTCTAAGGGCCTGTGGTCAATATGGAGAGTATTTAAAATGGACAAACCAAGACACCAGAGTAATGGAGTGCAGAGCCCTGAAGAACAGCACCAGCAGCAGACAAGGCTTCTGACAGCCGGCTCCTGTGGTAAGTACCTGAGTATCTGGAAACAGCTGGTCACACACCTTCTTCCCAGAACACGCCGCACTCACTGCCCTGCCACATACCATGTCACTGTGAGCTGTCCTCGGGTGTCACAGCCACCGTGGTGACGGTACTTCTGGGGACACTGGCCATCCCCATGGGAGAGAGAGGACAGTGTCACTGCACCATAACCTTTGGCTAAATAACTAAAAACTATTCGTACAGATGTTTTCTGTAGGCAAGACACTCTTGGGATTTATTCTGAATTATAAAAGACTAACAAACAGCGTTATCCTGTTAGACACACATACAGACAGACCCCGGGAGGAGTCCAACAGCCCAGAAAGTAACAAGCCAGTGGCAGGACCACAAACCCGCGCAGCTCTGACAGACCCCGGGAGGAGTCCAACAGCCCAGAAAGTAACAAGCGAGTGGCAGGACCACGAACCCGCGCAGACTCCGAACGGGCACCACCAGTTCTTTCACAGCCTACCTGTGGGAAATGGGGACTGGGAAATGGGAAGAGACTATCACCAGTGAAAATACGTAGGATTTCCAATTATAACACAATAGAAGATCCAGTTCATGCGAAAGTCTGAGCTTTTATCTCACACTGGCTACCTTCTTCAAGGTCTGGGTGACTACTGTCCAGTAACTCTATTTTTTGTTACCAAACTGTTAACTTTCATTTTACATCAGGTGACACAGGGTGTCAGCAGTAAATACAAAAGGCTTTAACAGAATGGGAGGAATAAAATACCTCATTACTAAGGGTATGAAATGGGAGGGATTTTGCTGTGGCTTTGAGTCCTCGTCCACAACAGACCATCACAATAAACCACAGTGATGAGCAGCACACACAGTTTTGGAAGAGCTGTGGTCATGTCCCTGTACCACGAGCCTGGGAAGAGCAGAACTTGGTTCCCAGCCTGGGCTCGGGCCAGCAAAAGCTGCCATCACCAGCCACGTGGGCTTATGCTCCTCGCTCGGGAGGTACCAAATCAGAGCAGCAAAAGCTTCAGGTGTGAAACACTCTCTGCAAACAGGGTGTCACCTCTGGCCCAGGAGGACGGAAGGGACCAGGGATCTAGAGGTGAGCCAAGTATGGAATGAGGAGATGTTGCTGAAGAGCTAGGGGGAAAAACAAGGTGTCCAAAGTCGCTGTGTGACAACACTCAAACTCCAACATTTCTGGTCTCCTCACAAATTTCGGAATCCTTCTGGGTTTTCCACATCTGCTTCTAGAGCAGAAAGAGGAGTCAGCTTCAGAAACACACCTTAGGAAGCTTGTAAGATGTGGACAAAGAGTTATTTTTAAAAGTTCTTTATTCCTAAGCGACCGTTTTGCTCAGTCCACCTGCACACCTTCAGGAAGTTCTACCACTACAGGAGCGCAGTCATCAGGCTCTGCCTCGAAGTCCCATTTAAATTTCTTCGTTAGGTGAGCCTTGAATTTCTCAGCCTTTTTCCTTAGGGTCCCGCCAACAGCAGCACTGCACGTGCAGGAAAAGAACACCTAAAAGAACAGAGCAGAGGTCAGTAAGAACTCAGCCATGGCACAAGCTGTCATCTCTTTCCTACAAAGATGTCATCGACAGGGTGCACCAGAAAAAGTTTCAGGTTAGGCCACTGGTAAGGGACCCACCACCCTGGAAAGCTTTGGGGCTACCTAAACAGAGCTGACACTTCTCCTCTCATCCCACTGCCAGGACAGACATCCTGCCTCCACTCAGTCAGCCTTAGGAAGATTTGCATTAAGGTAATAACTTTGGTCCAAGCAGGGGTATCACGGAATCACGGAATTGTCAGAGTTGGAAGGGACCTCTAGAGATCATCTAATCCAACTCCCCTGCCAAAGCAGGTCTCCCCTCATCCTCCTCTTCTCCAGGCTAAAGAGCCCCAGCTCTCTCAGCCTTTCCTCATCAGGGAGATGCTCCAATCCCTCCATCATCTTTGTTTCCCTACGCTGGACTCTCTCCAGCAGTTCCCTGTCTCTCTTGAACTGGGGAGCCCAGAACTGGACGCAGGATTCCAGTGGTGGCCTCCCCAGTGCAGAGCAGAGGGGGACAATGACCTCCCTCCACCTCCTGGCCACACTCTTCCCTACGCAGCCCAGGATCCCATTGGCCTCTTGGCCACAAGGGCACATTGCTGGCTCATGGACAGTTTGCCATCTACCATGAGCCCCAGATCCTTCTCCTCAGAAGTGCTTTCCAGAAGATCCACCCCTAACCTCTATTGGTGCCTGGGGCTCTTCCTCCCCAGGTGCAGGACCCTATATGGAGTATATATAGAATTAAATATGCACTACGGAATTCTGAAAATACTTTTAAGTGTCACCAAAGAAAAATATCTGAGCAGACAGGGGAAAAAAAAATAAAAATAGAGGACTCTCAGTTTTCATTTTCCACAGAGCCAATTCTACAGCACATGTCAAAAAGGCCAATGGGTAATTAATTATACCCATCTTTGTCATGGCTGGATGGACCAGGAGAACCCCCAAAGTATTTTTGCAATACGGTATCACCAATATCTCAGGATACAGCGAAAACTTAATAATAATGACCCTGGAGGTCTGTGAAGAATGGGAGGTCTCTGGAAAATGTCTGGTTATCCCCTGCACAGCCATGCCCTTCAGCACAGGGCACCGGTATCTGGACTAACCCCTAAGACTGGCTCCCCTCCATCACCCAAACCCACACTGATCTATTAACGTCACAATTTCACAGCTGCTGTTGGCATGTTGAGAGTTAAAGCAGCAGCGTATGATTATACAGGGCATTTCACCTCAGAGCCCACCTCTCACCAGCCTGTTTCTGCTCCTCTTCTCAACTCCTCACCCAGAATTCACCTCCATAGGAAGAAACTTACAGTTCAGAGCCAAAGAGAAAAAAAAAGTACCATTGCTCAATGGAAGCAAAGGGAAAGCCCTCTGGGAAAAAGCAGGCTCTTATTTGGGAGAGCCCTACTGACAGCTGGATAAAACACTGACAGCGAGCAGCAAAGTGCACTGCTTTGTTTATGAACATTTGCCTTTTCCTTGTTCATTCTACCATGAAACCGCCTCTTTACAACAGAACTCCCTTACGCAGCAAGGCTGCTATTAACAAAAAAAAAAAGATATTAAAAGATTATACTTCCCACTTCTCCTCAATGAATTGCACATTACCTCTTTACAACAGAACTCCCTTACGCAGCAAGGCTGCTATTAACAAAAAAAAAAAAAGATATTAAAAGATTATACTTCCCACTTCTCCTCAATGAATTGTACATTAAATTAGTTATTTCATCAATATTTTTTTTTCTTTAAACATTGTTAGGGCTGCATACTCAGTGGAGGTTACGCTGTACTTGCCTTAGATCAAACTCCAAAAATAAAGTTGCCGTATTCAAAGCTGAGCAAAAGCTACCACAGATAATGCACTCCCCCCCGCCCCCCACCATTCTGCCACCAATCCACCTGCCCACACCCAGTTAAGAGTGTTAATTCTGATGGCTGTGTACATAAAGCAACGGGGTGAGGCAAGTCCCAGAGGCTCCCTGGAATTATTTCAGTGCATCAGGGAAATCCCCCGGGAGCAGAGAAACAGAGAACTTTGAGCAAGAAGAGGCTCACTTCAATCAGAAGGCAAATTTCTTCTTTGCTACTAAAAATGTGGTGACTCCTGGTGGGGCTTAACAATGTTGACTGAAGCTGGCACAACCACCTTAAGGCATCAGCTTCCACTGCTTACGGAAAAAAAAACCACAGACTGATGAAATCCCAGGGTGGACGAAACCCAGGTATCCAAAAAGGAAAGATAATCAGCAACTCAGGGTGCTTCCAAAATTCCCATCAGCTGTAAAGAATGGCTGGTTGACACATCCTTTGTACTGCTGCAAACTGACAGTGCAAAGTGTGGCTCTGTGAGGGTGCTGCAAACAGAGCTAGGTTTTTTGTAATGGGATAGGAAAAAAAACACCAATGGAAATAAAATAAAAATTCTAAAAAATGAGACTTTTATGAATCCAAATTCCAAAAAAAGTGAATAAAGTCACTTGGTTAAAGCAATGCTTCCCATAACGCTTTACCCAGCAAATTAAACACCTCCCTGATCCCCAAATCTACAGCAAGAACTGGGAGTTACAAGTAGAGAAAAGCAGCCTCTCCCTGAGAAAGGAGAAGGTGCTACCGACTCCCATCCAGCACCTGCAACGTCATTTGCCTCTGCTTCTGCGGGGATTAAGTTTCCATTGCTGAGCTTCACCAGTGTATCTGGGTTGGGCTTTTTGGGTTTTATATAAACCAAATTTTGATTAGTCCATTTGCTGAGCTGACAGCATGGTTACAATCTGTGGGAGTCCCTTGGTTTGACTAGTGCTGAATCGCAGATGGGGTCCTGCACCTGGGACAGGGCAATCCCAGGCACAAATCCAGGTTGGGCAGAGAATGGCTGGAGAGCAGCCCTGAGGAGAAGGACTTGGGGTGTTGGTGGATGAGAAGCTCAACATGAGCCGGCAGTGCGCGCTGGCAGCCCAGAGAGCCAACCCCATCCTGGGCTGGACCAAAAGCAGTGTGGCAGCAGGACCAGGGAGGGGATTCTACCCCTCTGCTCCGCTCTGGTGAGACCCCACCTGGAGTGCTGTGTCCAGCTCTGGAGTCCTCAGCACAGGGAGGACATGGACCTGTTGGAACGGGCCCAGCGGAGGGACACGAAAATGATCAGAGGGATGGAGCACCTCTGCTGTGAGGGGGGGGTGAGAGAGTTGGGGGGTTCAGCCTGGAGAAGAGAAGGCTCCAGGGAGACCTCAGAGACCCTTCCAGTCCCTCAAGGGGCTCCAGGAGAGATGGGGAGGGACTCTGGATGAGGGAGGGGAGCCCTAGGAGGAGGGGGAAGGGTTTGA